TCTGCCAAATTATTTGACAGTCACCAATAGAATATTAATAAGATATTTACTAACACATAAATAGTTTCTATACTGTTACTTTTTGAGTAAATTTGTTTAAAAGATATATACTTTGTTCTTTTTTGTTTATAATTTAGGTTTTTTTATGTTAAATTTTGTTAAAAAACTGGCTTCCTATTCCTAAAATGTGTTGAAAAAATGTGTTCAAATGGTGTTATGTTTTGTTCTTTTTTGTAAACAGTTTATGCGTTTGACGATAAATATATTTTGTTGAAAAGCAAGCTTTACTAATAGCTCCTCCCTATTAAAACATTAAAATTTAAAAGAGTTTCGATTTCCTTCATTAAATATGTTTAACATAAGTATTTATATATATATATATAAAGGTAAGGATACAACATGTTAAAAGTTATTAAAACATAAGTTTTAATAACTTTTATTGGAATTTCAGGATTTTTTGTAAAGAGATTTTCAGAATTTTTTGTAGATATAAATGTTTTATATACATAAATTATGTTTTTGTATTTTACAAATAGGGAGCTCAATGTGTTTAAAGAATAAAGCAATAATAAATTAGATTAAACAAGTTATATATATATATATATATATATATATATATATATATACATATATATATATATATATATATATATATATATATATATATATATATATATATATATATATATATATATATATATATATATATATATATATATATATATATATATATATATATATATATATATATATATATATATATATATATATATATATATATATATATATTTTTTTTTTTTTTTTTTTTTTTTAACATCTTCACTTCCAACAAGGCTGCAAGCAACCACTATAAGAGTTGGAAGTTACTGGAAGAGAAAAGACTAAATCTGTAGAGCAAGATAACGATTGACTGATGACTTAAAAGATTGCAAATTATATGAATCAGGAAAGCAAGATGAAGGAAGCGAATTCCAAAGAACTGATGTTCGAGGAAAAAAACTAGAAGAATAAGAGTTTTTGAAGCACTTAGGAACAGTCACAGAAAAAGGATGAGACTTAATTGAATGGCGAGTAACACGAGAATGAATTTTAGTAGATGGCACAAGGGACGCTAGCTCTTTAGAGCAGTGCCCATTATAGTATTTGTAGAAAAGAGAAAGAGAAGCAACATTACGACGATGTGACAAAGGTTGGAGATTGGCTGCCAGAGCAGGTCCAACTATGTTTACAATTCGTTTTTGCACCTTGTCTAAAAGAGAAAGAGCTTCATTAGAAGATCCGCCCCAGATGTGGCAACAGTATTCCATACAGGGACGGATTTGAGATTTATAGAGATAGAGAATAGAATCTGGAGTAAGAAAGTGTCGAGCTCGATAAAGAGATGCAACCTTAGCAGATGCTAATTTTGCAATGGATTTGATATACGGTTT